ATTTGTAGGACTCGTTTTTCTGTTCTGTCTCTTGAAGAGACGAAGGCGTTTGACTTTTCATATTTGGACGCCTTTTAAGACGAGGAAGCTTTAGAAACCTCAGCGGGGAATTGCCATCTTCAGTGTTCGGGTCTTGAGCAATGTTGCATCCAGGTATTCTTCGAATTGGCGGTAATGTCATCTGGTTCGAAAGCTCCGCATCTGGTCTATTATTATGTGCCATTCCTTTGTGCGATGCTTTTCTCAAGGAGCCTAGTATATATATCAACGGGATTGTGCTTCTCTAGTGAACTGTCCGTTCGCTGTTTTTCATAACATAAGAGGGTACTGTAGTGTGCCGCTTGCTGAAGCGAACACTGAACAAAACATGATAACAGCCTTTTTTCCTCGGAAAAAAATGGAAATTAATGGTGATTTTGACAAAACCCTAGAAACACGTGCTTTGTCCGGCAAAACAAGGCGCGTCCGGACAAATTCACTCCTGTCATTAGCAGGCTGTTCACCTGCTATTCTGATTGTCTCACACTTTCCTCGAACCTTGGGCGAAACTTCATGAAATCCCCGAAGTGTAAGTTAACTGGTAGAGTTTCGCGCACGAAGTACGTCTCACAGTCTACAGTTCGCATGTAGACGTCTTATACATAGCTCTTTCTCTCTCCGTTTATTGACTTCTAAGAAGAAGAAACGGAAGCTATGAATGGTGAATGAATCATGGGAAAGTGCGTCCTCATATGAAAAGCAGACTGCAGATATATGGAGGGACACTACATTGGCTAAGTTCAATATATATAGCTGTTGTTGCAGTTCTTATTATTATTCTTGTTATTATTGCAAATCTGCGGTTATATATTCCATTGTTTTAAAAGGCTTGCGAACGAGGCGATAGGGTCAATACAAAGCAGATTGGACCCATTCCCCTCGTTTGTATGTCAAACCACTGATAAAGCAATAACAGCAATTGTTCTTCCTTTCATATTTCATTTCGAGGATATACAAATAAGGAACTGATTGAATTTGTTTTTGCCTTTAACCCTGTCAACAATTGACATTTGACTGTCAAAGTTCTAAGATCATGGGAGATATAACGTGCGATGTGATTGGCCGATCTGCATATTTTTATTGTGTCACTTTGAGACACGGCTAGCGGAAGCAAGCTTCGATTGTTTTTTTCTTTAAACTGTTAAACACGAGCTTGGTCTCCCAGGGTTTGTGAGCCGTAAAGACAGCGATCACAAGAGCTACAACTCTAATTTGCGCCAAGAAGTTAAAAACATTTGAAGAAGATTACTTCTACAGACTTTGGTTGACTTAAGCTTATTTGGCTCTTCGCGTAAAGTCAGAAAAACATTTGCTCGCATACATTCATAGGTACATTATGTACCTAGTTTATACTGTTTCTTTTCTATCTCCGTCAGAAAAACACTGTTTTAGAACTTCTCTCATTTTTTATCGAACGTGCATCGTAAAATTTCTAAAAATCATAAATGGGGGATAAAAAGGAGGCTGATTAAAAGTAATTTCTCTATCTTGCGCGTGCAAATTAAAACTACAAAATTTGGAAATCCCGTCTCATTCAAGAAAGTTAGTGAATTAAATTTACTGTCCATTTTAGTAAACTCG